GGACGGGTGACAGTTATGCTGAGAAACAGGGAGAGAGAAGAGGGGAGAGGCTAACTGGAGTTTCAGACACTGAGATCATTTCTGCTTGGTAGAGTTGGAGGGGCAGACTTTAGCTCAGGTCTTGAAGGAAGGAGGAGGAAAAAGCTTTAGGGAAAGGCTTTTCTAAGCTGAGATAGCCTATGCTAATTGTGGGGTGGGAGATGGAGGACAGTGGTAAGTGCTTGAGTGCTGCTGACACAGCTATGTGGTAGGGTTGTAAGAGGTTGAGAGAAGCACGTGTGTGTGTGTGTGTGTGTGTGTGTGTGTGTGTGTGTGTGTGTTACAAATGGGAAGACAGCTGGAGAGCCTGCAGGAGCAATCAGAGGATCTACTCCACTGACCTGTAATGTCAACTTTTACAGAGAGGCCCAGGGACTAAAGATTGGAATCAGACACCATGGCAAGATTGGTGGTCTTCAAGGAGACTCTCTCACTCTTAAAATATTTCCAATGGAATTTAGATTTTAAAATGCAGTTTACCACTAGGAAAGCAGGACTAGGGAGAGAACTCACCGTTTTTCAGATCATTGCCCAGAGAAGTAATTCAGTGTGTGGATTCAATGGGGGCGTAATTAAGTGTTCTTCCTATATATCCCTCAGAGAGGCGTTTCTTTATGAGAGAAATGAGCTGCTTCCCCCATCTCTGCACTAGGACACACAAGGCGAAAACCAGGACTTTCTTTTCATGACTGGAGTGGCAGGAGACTGGTTACTCAAGGTGCATGCACACCAAGCACGGTCCCCACTGGCTCAGGATGTGGTAATGGCCTACAGTGAAGTCCAGGGAGTGAGGACGTGCCGTCTCTCAGTCTTCACAAGAGCAAGTATCTATTTTGGGTTGTGTGCTTGACTCTAACTTAACCCAGGCAGCAATGTGTGATTCCAATCCCTGAATCTGCTCAATTACCATTTTCTAGTCCTCTCCCCAGCCCGCTTCATGGTGGATAGCCACTCAAAAATAATATTTCAATGACCAGCATTGTAATGCTGCTTTTTCTGTTTTTCTTGGTCTGCTTTTTGTTTTTTCCATGCAGGGTTTCTCTGTGTAGCCCTGGCTGTATTAGAACTCACTCTGTAGACCATGCTTGAACTCAGAGATCCACCTGCCTCTGCCTCCCCAGTGCTGGGATTAAAGGCATGCACCACAACCGCCTGACCATACTGCCTATTGCCATGTTTTTTAAGAAAACAAATTTAAAAGTAACTTTTCTTCAGTCGAGAGTTCCACTTAAATTCTTTCTTACTTCTTTGATACAATGTAGCCTGGTTATATTCATCCCAATTCTTGCCCTTAACTCCTCCCATATCTACCCCATAATCCCAATACCTTCCAGCTTCATCTCACTCCTTTTAAAAATTTAATAGCCTATCGACTCCAATTTGTGCTATCTCTATAGGCATGGGACAATCTATTGGAGTGCAGTCAACCTATCAGGATCCACACCTTAAAGAAAACTGTCCCCCACTCCCCAGAAACTATCAGCTGTCCATAGCTCCTCAGGTGGGGGTGGGGGCTCACACGTCCCTTCCCAGTCTTTGCTGGACTGGTGGCTGGTGTGATACTGTGCCATCAGCCACAGCTACAAGTCGATCCCTATTCTGTGCCAGTCCCATCCCTGAGTTTTAGGGAGGGGTGTGATGGGATGTCCCATGTTTCTTGTTCTCTACACTTTGAGAACAACTAGTTTTTCATCTAGAATCTTGCAGGCAATTCTCTCAGCAGCTGCTAAGAGCCTTCTCTTCCCCCATCTTCAACATCGCTTTCCTGCCTCTTAGGCTGCTGAAAGCAAGGAGAAAAGAACACTGCCCCCTTCACTTGCCTGAGCTACTTGCCTCTAGCTAACTTTAAAGACTTCACATTTTGGAGCGTACACAGCCAAGTCCCCACTAGCTTGACTGTACATAACTCCATTTTTCTTTTCTTTTTTTCCTTTTTTCATCACTGGGGATTTAGACCAGAGCCTCATAATACTAGGTATATCTTCCCACTAAGCCATATCTTCAGCCCTTTTACTTTTTGAGATAGGCTCTCCCTAAATTTCCCAGGCTGGACATGAACTCACTCTGTGTGTAGCCCAGGCAAGCCTTGAACTTGTGACTATTCTGCCTTAGCCTCCTAAGTAGCTGGGATTACAGGCCTGTCTTGGATTTTGGTAATAATAATCATCTATATTAGTTTGCAGCATTTGAGGCCGGTTTTGTCAAATCCACCAGCTCTTCTCCTGGGTCTAGTGCAAATGTCTGTGGGTGACCACTCGGCATTAGAAGTCAGAGAACTCTTAGATCATGATAACACTACCATTTTCTAAATGTGTAGCACATGAAGAGTCATGAAGATTAATTATGCATGTATAGACCTCATCACCTTCAATCACCTTTCTCTATGCCTTAAATCACCTTGATTTCTTATGCCATAAATGCCCCCAAACCCTATCTTTGGGGAGGCACATATGAGCCTTGGCTGCCTCCCTCCATGTTTGGCTGGCTTAGAAATAAACTTTGTTTTGAAACACTTGTCTGTGCAACGTGCATACTGTCTGGTGGACCGAACTGTCCTGGTTTAGTACCACTCCCATCCCCTCATCATTATCAACTTCTTGCCACGGCAATGCCATGTAGACTCTGTGTCCATAATGCACCTCTCTGAGGAGCCCAGCCCCATTCCTGGGCCTATCTTCCAAGACTCCTGTACTTCCAGGGCTCACTTTCTGAGGGGGCTGCACTTAGCACTCTGTTTCAGGATTGTCTCCTGTTAGTGTCTATCAGACACCTGAAAGTCCCAAACGGACCTGTTAGCTACCCTCTGGCCCTCTTCCACACATCTGTTGCTCATCAGTAAAGTATCAAGGCATCTACCAAATCCAGTTTCAACCAACTCTTCCCATCCTACTAGATCCCGGGTTACAGACCTCACATGACATTTGCCTTTACCTCCACTTTTGCTAAATAACATTTTAACTGCTTCCATTTCCTACATAAAATCCATCTTAAATAGTGCTGGGCATCTTTATCCTTCCATTTAAGCTTTGAAATCATATGTATTTGGTGACTGAACAGAGGCCTTGCTCAGAGTGGGCACATGCCTCCTTCCATAAGTGCTACCAGCCAGCCCTGGAAGGCCTTTTAATTATAGCTGCTCCTTCATTGTCTCTATCCCAATTACCATTTAGCCCATGTGGCCTACGAATACATTTTCCTGACTTTGTATTATCTGGTTCTTCTCCTTTTAATACAGCTTGACGTGTTTCCCACTCAGATGGAGCTGTACTTATTACTAAAGGCCCAAGTAGGAAGTCCCATCTCAGGTAGAATGTTCTAGAACTCTGCTAGGCATTTTTAGCAGGCTGCCAAGTGGAGTTCTCATCACCTTCTGCTAAGAATACATTTGCTTCACTCTCTGATCTTGCCTCGTTCTCTCCTCCCAGGCAGCGACTGCACATTCTCTTAGTTATCTCTGTAACCCTGGTAATGAGTGAGATGCCTGGAATGTAGGAGGTACTTCACAGAGCCTAGGAGTCAAAGTGGGACCACAAAGAGGTCCCCCTCTCCAGTCAGGGCTAGAATCCAGAACAAACATTCAATCATTCTGTCCACAGCCCTCTTTCTTTCTCTTAGTAACTTGAGTTACTAAGCCCTCTTTTTGTCACAACAGAGACTCAGCTGCTCATTCCTGGCCTAGGGTCCTCAGATGGCTTCATGGCCCTGTTACATTGAACTTCCTGCTTTATGACACTTCATAGTGGTGATACATTAAAAACTTTTGTGTTTTTGGTAGACATATTCAAGGAAT